CAGAGCTGCTCCTTCAGAAGAGGTGCCCTCACCTTGGACTGCTGAGGGCAGAAAGACACGGCAGAGAATTCCCCCAAGGGTGGTCCTGAGGCTGAAGGACTGAAGGGCTTCTCTACTGGGGGGTGAGTTTGTCTGGTTCTCAGTGCTCTGTTGCACAGGACTGGCACCTGATTCTTGTCAATGCCCTGTGACCTGGGGCTCTCCTGGGATGGTGTTTTCAGCCCCATTGACACAAAAGACCAAACTCCTCTCAGCCCTGCAGTCCTTGCCCAGACACCCAGTGGCTCCCATTGGTGAGAACAAACCACATCCTTTTCCTTCTCTTCCTCCCAGCCCTGTCTGATTGCTGCTGGTCTTTCTCTTCCAGGCAGGTGGACTGCACTGCTAAGTTTCAACATTTCTTCTAACGCCAAGCTTGGAAGAGATTTCTCAGAAGCTGCTTGGCTTCCTCCACTCTTTAGGCTATGGCTGAGGATGCTCGGCCAATCCATGTTTTGGGCCTTGAGGTGCCTTGGGGTGCTCCAGCCCTGCCAGGGTTGTGCTAGTTGAATCCACAGGTGTGTTGGCATTTTTGCTTGATGGGTGCATTTTGTGTGTGATCTATTTCTTTGAATGCATGTCATGGACAAATTTGCATGCAACGCCCTGCCCATGAGTTTGGGAAAGTCTGTACATACTTGGCTCTCATCACAACAGGATGTGGTGATCATCCCCAGGGCTGGTGTTCTTCAGCACTGCCTGCCCTGCAGGCAAGGCTGCCTTTTCCCTCCTCAGTGTTCAGAAGCTCCAAAGAGCATTCTCTTTGGGTCAAGGGAGAAATGGCAAGAAATCCTGCCCACCTTGTGCAGGGAAACCTTGAGTGGATCTGCTTCCAGTGCTGTGTGCTGGTGCCCGTGTCCTTGGGGTGAAGAGCTTCAGCCACACAGAGCGAGGCAGGGCAGGTGGAGACCATGACCAAGCAGGTAGCCCAGGGAGGTCGTCAGGGTGAGGAAGGCTGGAAGTTGGTGAGTTTGGGCAATAGACAAAAGGCTCCTGCTCCAACTGTAGACTTTGACTTCAGAACAGGTGCTGTCACCTGCAAACTGGTGAGGACAAAACGACATTGGGGATTCATCAGAGGGAGCTGTGCTTGAATCATTTTTCCTTCATGAAGGAGAAAATAGCCGTGGCATCTTCAGGAGACTCCCTCTCTTAGGAATCTTAAGCACCAGCCTACTGACCAGACCTGATGTCTCAGGAGGTTTCTTGTTTGCCAGAGGGCAGATGCAACGTGTTGCAGAAGGTCTGCTGAGCTTGTCCTGCCTTTGGAGTATTGGCATTTTCTGCTCTTTGATGTGGGCTCCAGTGATAATGCCCCAAGTGTTTCCGGAGTGACTGTAGAGCTCTGGGGAGATCGAAGGGTGTGAGGGCCCAAATTTGAAAGGCTTGAGTAGAAAAGAACTCCTCCAGTGGACGAACACCTGGCTGCATGCTTTGTGTTGCAGGCAGTGCTTTGGTTTTGACTGCCAGGTAACTGTCTGTGATGAACGAGGACTACTGGGCAAGGATGGGAAACATTCGACAAAGTCCTGCAACAGAGTCTTTGCAGTCAGGAGAGAGGAGATCTCTAAAGCAGGTGTGGCAGGGGAGGTTTCCCATAAAGGAAGAGAAGTGAGAGCACAAGGGTTAGAACAGATGTTCTCCTGCATCGGGACACCAATCCAAATCCTGACCTTGCCCTCTCCATCCAGCCCTTCTGGGAATATCCAGCTCTATCTCCCTCTTCCTAAGGCTTTTTGCTCACAGGACAGCTCTCTCTTTCCTACCTAAAAGAAGGCCAGTGAGCTGAATGCACTGCTCATGACACAGGTTGTAATTTGTATGGAAGAGGTAAAGACAGCACACTGGGAATGCCAGGAAGACTGCAAATGATGTCCAATATGGAACTGTCTGTACTGCAGAATTGAGCAGCCATGGATTTATTGTTGATCCCCACACCAAATAGATCCTCCTCTTTAGGACTTCTTGAGAGTGTTTAGGCTGGATAGAGTTCATGTAATTCCCAGTAGCTGGTCTGGGCCTACATTTGTGATTGGTTCTGAAAACAGTGTTGATCAAACAAATTTGTTATTGCTGATCGGTGCTTACACAACATCAAGGCCATTTCTGCTTATCAGAACCATCGTGCCACCAGTGAGTAGATTGTGAGTGCACAAGAAGTGAGGAGGGGACACAGCTGGGACAGCAGGTCACAACTGCCCAAAAGGATATTCCACGTCCTGTGACATTGTGCTGAGCATATCAAGCTGCGGGAAGAAGCATGGCAGGGATGTTTGGAGTGATGCCATTTGTCTTCTCATTTAACCATTTTGCAGGATAGATCCCTGCTGTCCTGGGAATGGCTGAACACCTACATGCACTTGGGAAGTGCTGAATGAATCCCTGGATTTGCTTTGCTTGTGTGCACAGCTTTTACTTTACCTATTACCCATCTTTATCTCCACTCCTGGGTTTTCTCCCTTTTATTGCTCCAATTCCCTCCCCCGTCCCACCCCGGTGTAGGGAGTGGTTGTTGTGTGGGCTGAGATGACAACTGGGGTTACACCACGACTCTTCTCCAGACCTTTGCATATCAGAACTACCCATTGCCATCACCACAAAGTGGAGGGGCTGCCATGGAAAAACTGGGACCAATGCCAATGGTTTTGACCAGAGAGTTCTGTCTCTGAACAGCAGCTGACAAGCACCTTCCCAGCTCCCCTGCCTTGTGAGCATCCCTTTAGAGTGAGGTGGACTTTCCTTGCCATGTGGTCCTGCTGGGGGCAGAATGAGATGCCCACGGAGTCCCACCACTGAGAACCTTGCCCCAAGGAAGCCTGAGCTGAGTTGCCCCACCTTGCACCTCCAGAGCAGCCACCTCTTCACCACAGAAGCCACGTACTCTGTGATCAAGGCAATCACCCACACTGCCTGCCAATTACTTGTTTCATCAGGGTAATCTCTCATAGAGTTGTTACACCCACACAATTCCTGACATAGCCTAGATATCCCTGTGGATGGAAAACACCTCATGAACAATAATCCTTGACAGACCTCTACACCTTCCCTTCCCTTGCCCTGCCTTACTTTGCCCTTCCTTTCCCTTGATTTTCCTTGGCCTTGCCTTGCCTTCCCTTTTCTCCCCCCCAAGTTTCCTATCTGCTGTGCAGGTCATTGCCTACTGTTGGTACAACTCCTCCTTCTCCATCTCACCTTCCTAGCTCCTCAAGGGAACTGTCCTCAATTGCTCACTCCCACTCCTGCACCATCCTTGCACATCCTGGCCAATGCCACTCCTCCATTTCCCAACTTTCCTACTGTTTCCTTTGCCTTCTGCTTGTTTGGGCTCCACGTCCATTGGTTGAGCAGAGACAGCACCAGCTCTGTTGGACACGGACACTCCTCTGTCCCAAGAAAGGCTGGGAGTGGTGGGTGTGAGATCAGGGGTGATGCTAACAAGGCCAGCACAAGCACAGCCCAGTTTCAATGCCTTGTGTATCTCATCTCGCATCTGCTGCCAGCTGGAGAGATGAATCTCCCCACCACAGCACCACAAGGCCAGGGAGCACATGAGGAAATTGTTGCCATTCTCTTAGACAAGGAGCAAATAAGGCCAGGAGCTCTCAGCACAGGCAGCCCCTCTCAGAAGAACAGAGTGACTGGGGCTACACTTGTAAATATTTAGGGTGAGAACCACTGGTGACCAGAAGGTCAGAATGGACCCAGCCCTCAGACCTGCCACCAAAATGGCACAGACCTTTCCCTGCATGACACTGGAGACCCTCGGGCTGGCACAGGCCACAGGTCAGTGGTAAACCATGACTGACAGCAGGAACATCTCAGCCCAAGTGTGCTGGTGGAGTACGAATTGGGCTGCAGAACTCCAAAAGGAGCTCATTGCCTCCACAGAAAAGAAGTGTAGCAGCACCCTGAGCATCAAGGTCAATGAGAGGACAATCACCCTAAATTCCAGAACTGTTGGGGTTGGGAGGGAGCTCTGGAGATGGTCAGATTTAACTCTTCTGCTCAGAGCAGGCACAACAAGAGCATGTTGATCAGGACATTGCCCCGTGGGGGTTTGAAGAGCTCTAAGGACTTTCACAGACACTCCACAAGCTGCCAGAGCAACTCTGCTGAGCTTGGCCACACTCACAGGAGAAGAGTTGTTCCTCAAGTCTATGCAGAATTTCCTTTCCCACTGCTCCAATCCACACACAGGGGCAAGCAAACAGCCCTGTCTGCATGTGGGCAACTGTGGGCTCATGTGCGCAAGGAGACTCAGAGAAACCTCGTGGAAGGGCAAGGCTGGATCGACCTGGGACAGGACGAGGGCCAAGACACTCTGAGGTTGTAGGAGTTGGTAGGGAAGTGCCAGAGAGAGTCCAGAGACTGAAGGAGTCCAAACGAGAGCACTAAGAGTTCCTCTGAGCAGCCTTAGGGGGAAGAGAGTCAACAACATCAGCGCTGATCACACACCCGCAGAGACAATGACCAGTGTCGATCCCAGAGAGAGTGGAGGGTGGGAGAGAGGGGACGTGGCCCTTTGTCACATTCAGTGACCTTTTGGCATCAGAGGGAAGATTCCAGAGCTGGGAGCAGCTGGGCCCTTCCTGCCCACAGGGCTGCAAACAAGCCCACGGGAGTGCCCCGAGCCAACGTCCCCAGAGTGCACGCGATGCCTCTGGCACTTGGGACTCATCTTCTGCTGCCACTAAAATGAGCTCCTGTCCCACAAGTCCATGGGCTTCCCTCCCCAGCTCCAAAAAGGAGCCTTCAAGGGGGATCATGAGTGGCCAAAGAAGGAAATGAAAATGCAGCCGTACAGGAAACCAAAACACAGCCCGTCTCATTAGCTGGAATGTTTTGCATTTCAGATGAGCTTCTCAGAAAATTATTGCTTCCAGAGAGGCTTCCTCTGGACCTGGGGCAGTGCAGGACCAGTATAAAAGCCATCCCAGCTCTGCACTCTCTGACCCACTTCTCCTTTGGAAGCAAGTGAGTTGGAAGATCTGTGCTGTTCTGGGCTTGGGGCTGGAAGGGGAAGTGGAGAGAAGGTTTGGTTTGGAGAGGGGCTTGTTCTGGGCTGAGGGAACTGCGGGAACTCCTGGGCTCTTGACTAGGAAGGAGCTCTCCTGGGCCTGGCTGTCCTTGCTCAGTGCCAGGGGTCAGGCCAAGAGTGGTGTGGTCGTCCCAGCAGAGCCTCCCAGCCCAGCACGTGTCTTGGCTCCCTCCTGGTGGGCAGGCGGCTCCTCCTACACCCCCATCTTCTCCCTTTCTTCTCTCCCAGGTGCACCTGCAGCCCCAAAAACATGTCGTGCTGCCAGCCCTGCAACCCTTGCTGCCAGCCCTGCGGCCCGACCCCGCTGGCCAACAGCTGCAATGAGTGCTGTGTCAGGCAGTGCCAGAGCTCCACCGTCGTCATCGAACCCTCCCCCGTGGTGGTGACCCTGCCCGGGCCCATCCTCAGCTCCTTCCCACAGAACACCGCGGTGGGATCCTCCACCTCCGCTGCCGTTGGCAGCATCCTCAGCTGTGACGGAGTGCCCATCAACTCCGGGGGCTTTGACCTCTCCTGCATCACCAACCGCTACTGCGGCAGAATCTGCTGAAGCTGCTGCTGAAGCCCCACGGAAGGACCCCCAGGAACCCAGAAGACGGAAATGGACTGAGCACGGAGACCTTGGCCATGGCTTTCAGAGGGACTGAGCAGCCGTAGCTCCCCCTGCCCTGCACGAGGGCTGCCTGGCCTCTCTGAAAACACGGGCCTTGTTGGAGTTCCCTGTTTCTGCCCCTCTTCTTTCCCTCTCTCTTCTCTGGTGTCTTCTGCTCTCCTGGGCTGTGATCATGCTCTAAGCCCCATCCAAGGTCTCAACTGCACCCTGGCCAAGGGCCAGAGACTCCTCCTACCTGCCCCTGGTGCTCCCTGCACCACGGTGCCCACTCAGAGCACCTCCTTTCCACCTTTTCAACTCATTAAAGTTCTGCTGCATCCCCGCCTGCGCCTCTGTGTGGTCCTTCCCTCTCCCCACGCCCTGCCCAGCTGCCAGAGAGAAAGGTGTCACTGTGGGGAGATCTGGCAGGCACAGAGCAGAGCCAGGGGCCTTGCCAGAGGGAAGGAAGGGGGAGACACTGGCAGTGGGCTCCTGCCAGGAGACTGTCCCTTGCGGCTGACAAAGGTGTCCCTGGCTCCTGCAGAGCCAGCAGCCCTCAGGGCCTGCCTTGCTGCACCCCAAACACCAGTTCCCTCCTCAGCCTCTGAGAACGCCCTGCAGCTGATGGGGAGCCCGACCAGTGTCCGGCTGAGGAGTCCATCTCCCCAGTCACACGGGAGGGGGGGGTGGCACTGGCAGCTCTTTCTGCATCCACAGCACCTCTGAGCCCTCCCTGGCAGGGTGGCTCTTGGAGCCCAGGAGGGTCCCTCTGCGTGGGGCAGGGCTGGTAGTGCTGGTGGTGGCTGTAGGACAGGCTGCTCCTCACACCCCCCCGTGTTCCTCCTGCCGCCTGTCCCTGCTGAACCTCTGGCCACCAGACATCTCCAGCTACAGCCTCTCTGTCCCTCAGCCCAGGCACAGAGGGGCTGTTCCTCAGCCACCTGTCTTTGTGCCCTCCTGCTACAGGCGGTTGGTTGCTTCTGCAGCATTTCGGCTCTCTCTGCCTTCCCTTTCGCCTTCTTTGTAGGTCTTGCAGGGATGTTGTCTCTCCCCAGTCAGGCTGCCAGCCTTTCCTGCACTACAGCTGGGAGAGGGGCCCGGGTGCAAAGCAGGAGTTCCCGAAGCCACCATTAGTCTCACAACAGGGGTTTGGGCACACAGAGTCATCCAGACCAGACAAGGTTCCCCTTACGCTTCTCCCACCATGGTCTGGGGAAGAGCCACTATCTCTTTTTAACACCACTAGTGGGTCCCTTCTTACCACGCCCAGACACCAAGGCTTCTCCTCCTTCCCACCAAGACCTGCAGCTCCAGCTCCTTCCCTTTCCCATGTTCCCCAGGATGCCCCACTCTCTCCTGGTTCTACCTGGCTCCAACACCAATCCTGCCAAGGGGATGAAGCAGCACAGGGAGCACCTGCTGTTTGCTGAGCCTCTTGACTGCTTTTTTCTCTCCAATTATAAGCAGATTGTCATAGGAAGTTTCAAATGTCCTGGGAAACCCAGAGATTTGTTGTAGGGGGACTTGTTGGTGTCATGGAGACATGATGGAATGGCTTGCTTGACTACAGTGTTGCACTAGGTGGGTTATGCTCCTTTTGCAGACACAGCACCCAGAAAATGTTGCCATCGAGAACATGGGGAAGATTCATGACTTATTCACTTGGGCTCACATCTAAGGCCTGTGTTCCCAGACAAGCTCCTAAAAACATTTTCAAGTGCAACAGATCATCCTTTGTCCGCTCTCACTAGAGTGGGTGCACTCACACTGAGGTGTGTGAGATACAGCCATCACCTGGTGTCTCTGTGCTCCTTTCACACTCACTAGACCTGGTTAATCTGGGGAGGAATTCTAGGCAGGCTAGCACACCTCAGACCATAAAACCAGGAGATACCTTCTGTCACAGAGGCCTGAGCTACTGCCTGCCCATGAAGAGCCTGAAAAACCCTCATAGGAGCTCTTTTGGAATGCAAGGAACAAGACCAGAGAGGAATGCAACTGATTTTCTCTGCCCAGCACACAGGGTTAGCCAAACTCACTGTGGTGGTAATGCAACTGCAGCAGGTAGCCTGAAAATCTCTGCTCTGGGGAGTTTTGGATTCCTCCCATTGTTGCCCCCAGAGGACCAAAGACAGTGAATGCTAAGCAGCAACTTCCATCCTCCTTCCTCAGGTGCAGTGTGGATTTCTCTCCCTGCTCCCTGGTACCTTTTCAATGGGATGGGTCTCCTCATGAGGAGACTCTTTTTCATAGAATCATAGAATCAGCTGGGTTGGAAGGGACCTCGGACATCATCAAGTCCAACCCTTGATCCACTACTGCTGCGGTTACTAGACCATGGCACTGATGCCACATCCAGTCTTTTTTTAAAAATCTCCAGGGACGGAGAATCCCCCACTTCCCTGGGCAGCCCATTCCAATGGCTGATCACCCTCTCTGTAAAGAAATTCTTTCTAATATCCAACCTAAACCTCCCCTGGCACAGCTGAAGACCCAGCCCTCTTGTCTTGCTGATGGTTGCCTGGGAAAAGAGACCAACCCCCACCTGGCTACAGCCTCCTGTCATGGAGTTGTAGAGAGTGAGGAGGTCTCCCCTGAGCCTCCTCTTCTCCAGGCTGAACAGCCCCAGCTCCCTCAGCCTCTCCTCATAGGACTTGTGCTTGAGTCTCTTCACCAGCCTCGTTGCCCTCCTCTGGACCTGCTCCAGCACCTCAATGTCCTTCCTGAACTGAGGGGCCCAGAACTGGACACAGTTTATGCTGCTGGGTCTGGCTGTGAGCAGGCCAAAGAGGGAAAACTCATCCATGTTCGTCTGAGGATTGTCTGTCCTTATCCTGTTCTCAGCCATCTGCCTCCGGATCCTGTTTAGGAATACCTGACCATCCTGGGGCAGGATGATGCAGCCACTTGCAGCAAAGCAGCAAATACACCCATGGGGTAGAGCTCTTGGTGTGGAGAGAGATATTCCCCAAGCAGGTGTGGGTGGGAGGTCCTGGGAGCTCTCACCAGGACTCTGCTCTTCCCCACAGCTCCCCTGCCCTGCCTGTGCCCAGCAAAGTGTGGAGACAATTTCAAGCCCTGCCTGTCCTTGCCTTGGAGCTGCCAGGGAAGATGTGCTCTGTGGGCTGCCAGGACAAGCAAGGACTCTGCAGGGCCAAGCTGCAGGACAGGGGAGTTGGGGAGATCAATTCAAGAAGAGCTTGTGGGACTAAGGAAAAATTACTAAGGACTGTGTAGGGAAAGGGAATGAGAAATAGAACATGGAGCTATAAAAGGGCCTTGTTAGACCCTGGAAGCAGCTGCCAGAGAGTTCACTTGTCTGAGCCCAGCCCCTGATCACTGCATTCTCTCCTATTTTCTGATAAAATCTTCCTTAACTGTCCTTCAATGTGACTTCACTCTCCATGTGTGAGTGGTATAAGGATTGTTTTCTGAACTTAAATGAGGATAGAACTTAATGAACACTGTAGAAACAACTGTGGTAGGACTCCGAGGAGTACTAAGCCCTTGGAAACCTTGAAAAATGTAAGAAATCATAAGAGGCCCCACTGGAACAGCTGACCCATCTCATCTGACTCAAGGTTGTAGATCTCCATGTAATTACACCCTGAACTGAAATGCTTCCTTTAGATCCATTTCTTTAGCTGGGACAAAACTAGATCTTAGCTAAAAAGAGCATAAGCAGAAGCTCATCTTTAAAGCTCATAAGGAATGAATGGCATGTGTTACCTACCTCTTTAATCATCCTTTCCCTGGGTATAACATTGGTGTTGGATCTGTGCAGTTCACTGCACTCTCAAGAAGATGTTAGGCAGAAGTGGATCTCCTCGGCACACACTGGTCCATCTACAGTTCCAGAGGGACAGCTTTTCTACGGGAGCATCTGAAGAAGACTCAAAGCTCCTGCTGATCAGGTTTTGCCTGCAATGATTTAAAAAACCTGTGTGTGATCCCCCCTAGGAGGCCTAAAGGATTCACATGGCCCTGCCCCTACTGAAGTGTGGAATGTTTTTCACCACTCATTAAGAATTGGAAGGCAAGTCATTCCCTTGTGGCTAATTAGGGAGCTTTTCCAGTTTTGTTGGTTTGTTTGTTTTTATTGGCACAGGAGCTAGTAAACAGGAGGATTTTAATCAGCTCTCAAGACAGTGGCATTTCTTTCTGTCTCCTTTTGTCTGAGCCTTTGCCTTTTAGTTTCTAGTAAAGTCAGGACGTTCTGGTGTTGCAAACTCAGTGGATCAAGGTGCCTTCATGAGAGATGGAATATTTACCTCTGGTGAGACTCCTCTGAGCCTGGATATCTAGTGGAATTTTCACCCACCTTAAACTGCACTTCTCTGGTTGCACCTCCACAGTGTGGCTGTAAGGATTCTTTGGGAGAGAGGGCAGAAGGTGTTGGCAAAGCCAATGTAAACAAAATGTCCACTGCTCTGGTTGAGTGGTGGAAACCAGCTGCATGACCAGTGTGCATTTCCATGTGTGCATGGCTTGTTCCATCAAATGATTAAAGTAAACTCATTACTTGCCAGACGAGCCTATACCAGCAGCTCCACCCAATTGCTGAACTTCACATCCATGAGCAAAGTGCTCTAGGGAGGGAGATGGCAGGTTTTTGTGTGCAGGAGAGAAGTTTGACTGGTTGCTTTAATCAGCTACATCTGTCACACAAAGCACAAGTAAATCACTTTAACCACACTGAGCCTTTGGACTTGACACAGAAGCTGCAAAAAAAAGTGATTTTCTTTGTTCTGACTCTAGGCAGTGTAGACAGTGTCGTTTTGGGTAGAAGTCTTCTCAACAAAGCCTGGGTGTCTACTGTGAATTTTCTTCTGCCTAGGCCAGTTTTAGTCTTTAAGCTCCCTTGAGCACCATTTGGAGAAAAACTGATCTGTCTAAAGCTTGGCTCAGCTGACCTGTACAGTAACTTTTGGAGGAGGTGAACTAAGGTCTGAAATTGCCCATTTCTCTCCACTGATGACCTGTGGAGCAAAGATAAATATCTCAGGTGAAGACACCTGCTCTGGACATCAGGGGAATCAATTCCTTCCTATTTAGAATTATATCTC